AAATAAAATGCTTCCCATAGGAACGGGAACAGTGGCTGGGCACAGTGGCTCACGCCTGTAATCCTAGCACTTTGGGAGGCCGAGGCGGGCAGATCATCTGAGACCCGGAGTTTGAGATCAGCCTGGCCAACACGGCGAAAACCCATCTCTACTAAAAATACAAAAATTACCCGGGCGTGGTGGTGCATGCCTGTAATCTCAGCCACTTGGGAGGCTGAGGAAGGAGAAGTGCTTGAACCTAGGAGGTGGAGGTTGCAGTGAGCCGAGATCACACCACACCACAGCACTCCCACCTGCGCGATAGAAGTGAGACTCTATCTCAAAAAAAATAATTTCCAAGCCTTGTACATACACATTACCTCATTTGATCCTCATAATAACATCAAGGGTAGACATGACCAGTAGTATTAGCTTCAATTCACAAAGAAAGAAACTGAGACTCAGGCTGATGTCTCTAGGTATCAGTTTCCAAGTCTGTCCAATGAAGGATTAAGCCCTGTGACCTCTAAGAACTCTTCCACTTATTTATTTATTTCTTTAATTTATTTTTTATTTAATAAAGATGGGGTTTCACCATGTTGGCCAGGCTGGTCTTGAACTCCTGACCTCACGTGATCCACCCACCTCGGCCTCCCAAAGTGTTAGGATTACAGGCGTGAGCCACCACGCCCGGCTCTTCCACTTCTAAAATTGTATCGTTTCCATAATTTGTCTGAAATCACTAAGCTAGTAATTAGTAGCAGTTAGGGAGCTGAGAGAATGACTTGGTGCCAGGCTGATTCTCCCACACCGTGTTATCTTTGCTGCCAACAGCAATGGCTAACATCAGCTGTGCGATGTGCCCTGCACTGTGCTAGTTACTTACAAGCCATTGTTTTTTTTTTTTTGGAGACGGAGTTTCGCTCTTGTTACCCAGGCTGGAGTGCAATAGCGCGATCTCAGCTCACCGCAACCTCCGCCTCCTGGGTTCAGGCAATTCTGCCTCAGCCTCCTGAGCATCTGGGACTACAGGCACGCGCCACCATGCCCAGCTAATTTTTTGTATTTTTAGTAGAGACGGGGTTTCACCATGTTGACCAGGATGGTCTTGAACTCCTGACCTCACGTGATCCACCCACCTCGGCCTCCCAAAGTGTTAGGATTACAGGCGTGAGCCACCACGCCCGGCTCTTCCACTTCTAAAATTGTATCGTTTCCATAATTTGTCTGAAATCACTAAGCTAGTAATTAGTAGCAGTTAGGGAGCTGAGAGAATGACTTGGTGCCAGGCTGATTCTCCCACACCGTGTTATCTTTGCTGCCAACAGCAATGGCTAACATCAGCTATGCGATGTGCCCTGCACTGTGCTAGTTACTTACAAGCCATTGTTTTTTTTTTTTTGGAGACGGAGTTTCGCTCTTGTTACCCAGGCTGGAGTGCAATAGCGCGATCTCAGCTCACCGCAACCTCCGCCTCCTGGGTTCAGGCAATTCTCCTGCCTCAGCCTCCTGAGCATCTGGGACTACAGGCACGCGCCACCATGCCCAGCTAATTTTTTGTATTTTTAGTAGAGACGGGGTTTCACCATGTTGACCAGGATGGTCTCGATCTCTTGACCTCGTGATCCACCCGCCTTGGCCTCCCAAAGTGCTGGGATTACAGGCTTGAGCCACCGCGCCCGGCCGTTGTTTTTTATCTTATTTAAATTTTTGAGACATTGTTGCCCAGGCTGGAGTGCAGTGGCACGATCTTGGCTCACTGCAACCTCTGCTTCTCGGGTTCAAGCAATTTTGCTGCCTCAGCCTCCCAAGTAGCTGGGATTAAAGGCGTGGGCCACCATGACTGGCTAATTTTGTATTTTGTATTTTTAGCAGAGATGGGGTTTTTCACCATGTTAGTCAGGCTGGTCTCGAACTCCTGACGTCAGGTGATCTGCCCACCTTAGCCTCCCAAAGTGCTGGGATTACAGGGCATTGTTGAATACCTACTCAGCATCGTCCTCCATCCCTCTGCTTAATTGTATTGATATTTCAGTTACATACACACTTAATGGAGAAGCTGACACCACCCCTGCTCCAAGGATGTACTCTGATCGACACTTTCCATTCTTCTGGCCACGGTCATTGGGTGAGTTGAGGGCTCTGGCCTGGAATGCAGGAACAGAAGTCCACTCTCTCCCACTGGACATATTTTAGGAAGCACTGGCTTCTACTGCCACTGGCAGCCTCTCTGTGGCCCTGAGGGGAAGCTGAGGATTCTTGTTTGAGACTGATAGTTTTTAGTAGCTAAAATCTGAGATGTCTATACTGTATCCTTAAAACTGTGAACAAACAACATAGGCAAAGACAGATGAGGTCACTGAGACCCAGAGAGGTTACTAGACCTCGCCCAGCATACACTACCTACTGGGGGCAGTTAGGCCTAAATTACAAGTCTCCAGCAACTGACCTAGGGTTCTCTTGGCCTCAGCATGTACAGAGGGCCCCATGTACAAAGATTCCGGATAAAAATCAGACTGCGATCTAGCTGATGAATAGAACCCAGAAGTATGTTTGAGGGGGAGGAAGGATGAGGGTAGGAGAGGCCTCCTTCTGTTCTGCTTTTTTGCCCTGAGGGGATGACACTTAACCACTGCGAGGGCTGCAGCTGAGCCCAGGGGTGGTCACACTGAACCAGGACTCCTTCCCTTCCCCCACTCTAAACCTCTGCCAAGCAGAGAGCCTCTGAGACTGCTCTGGAGGAAGGGGCTTCCTGCCAAGTATCTGCCTACCTGGGGCCAGGGTGAGGGCAAGGCTAGTGGCTACATTCTGTGAACAGCTGGAAAAAAAAGTGGACAACACAGTGGCCTTCCCACTCTCCTTGTCAAAAAATAGCAGGATTTTAAAAAAAAGAGGGGGAGGATATTTATTTAATCCTCTTGTTACAAATTAAAGTTGCTGCTAATTTGTTTTCAAAAATTGCAGGAAATAAAGCAAAACAAAGAAACACAAAATACTTAAAAAGAGAATAGCTATTTTCCCAACTCTCACTTATAGGTATATTTATACAATTTTGGCAGAATCCAAAGGGAAGGACAGTTTTGTTAGTCCCTCCCTGATTGCCACAGCAAATGTACCCGCTTATTTACTCCTGAAAGATTTGTTGATCACCTACCCTGTGCCCTGGAGATACAGTTCTGAAAAAACACCAAAAAGGCCTGTGCATCCAGCAGCTCACATCTTAATGGTGGGAGGAAGGAGAAGGGGAACAGATCATAACAAGTAAGTAAACAAAATGATTTCAGACTGTGCCAAGGGCTGTGAGGAAAACAGGGTGATATGATAGGGAGCAGGGAAAAGTACTTTAGTTACAGCGTCGGAAATGCCTCCCCAAGGCAAGGTGGCTCACACCTGTAATCCAAACACTTTTGGGAAGCTGAGGTGGGCAGATCACTTGAGCCTAGGAGTTTGAGACCAGCCTGGGGTTTCACAATGTGAAACCCAGTTTCTACAAAAATACAACAAAAAATAAATAAATAAAAAATAAAGGCCGGGCGCGGTGGCTCACACCTGTAATCCCAACACTTTGGGAGGCCGAGGCGGGTGGATCACGAAGTCAAGAGATCGAGACCATCCTGGTCAACATGGTGAAACCCCGTCTCTACTAAAAATACAAAAAATCAGCTGGGCCTGGTGGCGCGTGCCTGTAATCCCAGCTACTCAGGAGGCT